ATTATGTCAAACATACGGCCCATTAGAGTTCATTTATTTAAACTCGGTTAGCATGGAAGGAAGTGCAGCCACTGGCATGTCATCTTACGAAAGTAGGAAATGGAAAGTTATCAGTTGTTTTGGGTGTATGAGAGCAATATGTATTCAAAAAATGAGACTTAAATTTTTTTTTTTTTAAATTCTTAGGACTACTGAATGTGGAAGTTAGGGATGTGATTATATAGGTTCTCATTGAAATACAAAATATAAAAATATGATAAGCATTATATTTCATAAAATGTAAGTTTATAAGCATTATAGGTTCTAATATTCTCTGAGATTTAGTTTGTGTTTAACATCTACCTTCCATGTTCTTCTGGGTCTTCCAATTTTGCCTCATATATACATATTTTCTTTCCTTCTTCTTTCTTTTTTTTTATGTTTGTTTATTTTTGAGAGAGAGGGAGACAGAGCATGAGCAGGGGAAGGGCAAACAGAGAAGGGTCACAGAATCTGAAGGAGGCTCCAGGGTCCAAGCTGTCAGCACAGAACTTGACATGGGGCTTGAACTCAGGAACCTTGAGAACATGACCTGAGCTGAAGTCAGATACTCAACTGACTGAGCCACTCAGGTGCCCCCATGTTTTCATTTTATACTTAGCCTCAATTTCTAGATATACTTTTTATTATTTCTGTAGGTTCTGTTAGTGATTTGTTCATTTTGTATAATCTCATTTAGATATTTGCAGGATTGATATCTTTAATTGTTAATTCTTTCCTTCTGCCTACCTGCCCTCTCTCCTCCCTCCCCCCTTCTCTGCCTCCCTCTGCTGCCTCTTTGCCCCTCCCCTGGCCTTCCCCCTTCATTTTTTTCTTTTCTAGCCAGCAATTGAGCCATTCTCTCCTTTTCCTATAATCTTTGTAATGTATACATAACTATTGGTGTTCTTCTGTACTATGATTACAGTAAAATTCAAGATTTTTAATTAAAATTCCCAGTTCCCAAGTCTTTTGTTCCTTTAGTTGTCTACCTTTCTCACTGGTTATTTTTTCTAACACTTTATTATACACATTTTGAAACATGCAGAAAAGTTGAAGAGTTCTATGAACACATATACTTTTTTTTTTTTACAAATAGATTATTGTCAAGTTGGTTTCCATATAACACCCAGTGCTTATCCCCACAAGTACCCTCCTCCATGCCCCCCAGAACACTTATATACTTAATACCTGGGTTACACTACTAATATTTGACTCTACTTTGTCACCTACTATCCTTTATCCATTCCTCTATTTATTATTACATCTTTTTTTGGGGAGGGTGAGTGCATTTCAAAATAAGCAGCAGCTATCACTCACTTCAATCCTAAATATTTTACCATGTGTCTTATTAACTAGAGTTAAGTGTTTGTTTAGAGGAGTTTTTCTTTTGAGGTAAAATTTACATAGAAAGGTATGCATAGATCTTAAGCGTACCATCATTAAATGACCTCTATCTTCTAAGTCAGTTGTGTTCTCATTAAGGGAACTAACTCCCATCCTAAGGCCATACTTCTAAAACTTGTGTGTTCATTTGGATATTTAAAAACAAGACTTTGAATACTACAAAGTATTTTAAATTTTTTTCTTTTTAGATTTTTTATTACATAAATGTGTGCTACATAGTATAATGATTATAATTAAAGGTATTTTTAAATTTTTTCTAGATTATTCCACACTTCAGCAAATATTCTTAGCATTTTTAATGATATCACGTAATGCATGCTGGAGGAAATAACATGAGGGTGTTTTTGTTTAGTTAAAAATATCAAAATGTAAAGAAAGGCAAGGATTGCCCTTTTGTCTACTTCGTAAGCTAAATGTGTAAAAGAGATAGTTACTTTAAAATGCTTGAACGTTTCTAGAGTGCTTTATGAGTTTATTGAGTGCTTGCATTTACCTGAACTCCTTGAGCCCCCGCCCTCGCCATGTTGGATGGGTGGACAGTTGTTCTGTCTGCTCTGTGAGTGAAGAAACCAGGGCCCAGGCTGGGGGAGGGCCGTGGAGCAGGTGAACTGGGGCCCTCTCACTTTAAATGTAGTCCAGCGGCAACAGCAGTGCTCACATTTAGTCTTCCGTTCAGGTGCCGTTCCAGCTGCTGGGATTTGCTGATGAGTAACTGCCAAGTGTTTTATTGCACAGACTAGTGTTAACTGTAACGATGGCTCTGATACAAGGACTTATGCCAATATTTTGAGTTCCCCAGGATGAAATCCTCAGATACAAAGGAACTGCAACTGCAGGGATCCAGACAGAACTCTCAGTGTGCTATATTTAGAATGTGGCATGCTGATATTACATACCCATCCTGTTCTCACAAAAGGGGACGGTCATGATTTAAGTGCCATGTAATGTGGCAAAATGCCTGTTTTTCAGAAATCTATTGCGTGAGAAGCTTATTGGAGGAAAGAAAGCCTTATTGACAGATCTGTTTTGGAAGGTTTAGGTTTCACAACATCCTTGAAAGTATACCCTCCCTTAGATGGACAGATCGTTAATGACAAAGTCATCTGGAGAAAATCAGTAACGGTTTAGCTCTTGGTTGGGTTGATACCATTAAGGAAAAGCTGGAAGAGATTAACATTGGTGAAGAAAAGTGTGCTTGAGGAAACCTTGCATAGAAACTTACTGAAAGTCCTTCAGGATCAGAAACTGGAAATAATCTATTTGAGATCACCTTTTGAGTCTCTACCCTTATTTTTGTCATTTTGTAGATAGATCGCGTAGGAGCTGAAAACCTTTACTCTTCCTGATATTAATTAGTGAGGATGTCTGCCTGCCGCGTACAAAGCACGTAATTCTTTCAAAAACGTTCGATTGCTTTTTGACCTAAGTAATGGTTGATCTGCCTCCTGCACACCTGAAAGTGTGATGGGGCCTGACCAGTGAGTCATTGAAACTCCTAGATACTCTGTATAGAAGACAGAAAGGACAAGAAGACAGGTAGCTGTGTCCATGTCCTGCTTACCCTGTGCCTGTTTTCTTGTGTCTTCCTTGTAGGGCTGGCTGCCCGCAGCCTGGTGGGGGCGTTGTTCTCCTTTGGGGCATGGTTAAGCAAAGATAATCCTTTATGAGAATCTGTGCTCGGAGTATCCTGACAGGCCTGAGGTCTACAGTAGTGTTTATTGAGAAAGAAGGGAATGGATTCTGGAAAAAGAGGGAAAAAAAAATACATTCAGAGGAGTGCCACCAGCGGTGGCTTCAGATAGTGTGTGGTGCCTACTTTGGGTGTGATCTGCTTTGGGGCCACTTTCTTCTTTGAGCCTTGGATCTGAGTGTTTTTATTCCCTTTTTTTAAAATTTTTTTAAATGCATCTCTCCCGAACGTTGTTGGCATGCCAGAGAGTCCAGAAGAAAAAAGGTGCAGCCATAATTCTTTCCTTCTAACGAAGGCACTGTTAAACTTTTGATAAAGTCTTTATTTCTACGTCTATAATTATGTTCCTGGACTGAGAAAATGCCTGCTGCTGTCTGCTGTTTCTGTGAAGTGCCTTTGCGTGTGTCCCTGCAGCGCTGAGGGACAGATGCTGGGCGCTGTCACTGTGCGTCAGTTAAATGGCCCTTCCAGCCTTGGAAAAGTATTACACGCTGCTTTTTTTTCTCAGCGGTGACTAATATTTGTACATTGTTGCTCTTAAAGTGTGTGGTCGTGAAAATGACTCTGGGCATGAGGGCGATGGGAGACTGCTGAAGAGCCAGTTCTGAGCTTTTCAGAATCGGTGGCTGGGACTTAATCAGCTGCTGCTTTCAGACCTACATTCTTTCTCTTTGCGCCCATTTCTTATCATATACAGATAGATTTTCGGTGGCAGAGTAATGAATTATCATCAGTCTTCATTTTGACTGACAAACACAGCATGCCAACTATGTGGGAATAAGAAATGGTGTCAGATAAGGGGGGAATGGCCTGAGTTTTCACTGGTGAAGACTTTTTCTGGAAGAGTGACTTGATGAAGTGGTTCCGTTTTACTTTGCCTGAACCAAGTAGATTCCAACATGTTAAAGTCACTTGGAGTTTTAATATAGTTTATTCTACTGGGACAGACTTACTTGAGAATTCCTTTGTGACTCACGGTGTAATGAAAATTCGTCAGTTTATTTTACTAAAGCTAGGAAAAAAAATTTTTAAGTTAATGAGCATTTTACTAAATGAGCTGTACTTCTCAGGAATGTGTAGAAGAGGGAGGGATGCCACACAAATTGGGGTGCATTTTCTCATGGGAACCTTTCATTTCAAATACCGTGTGTTTGGACTGTTAGATGATCTTTATTATCCTTAATATTTAATCCTGGCAGATGAATTTTTCTTCTCTCTTTTGTGAAAACAGTCTATTTCATGATAACCACAATAATAATAGGTCCGTAGATATATTCTTAATCGTTGGCCTGTGTCAGTTTAATTTGTCACTGTTTCTTTGGCACTTTCCACAATACCTGGCAGTAATAGGCACTCAGATATTTGTCATGTGGACAGTGTTAATTATTGTTAATTGCAGAATAATAAACCTTGATTTGTTCTTTTACATGGTTATAGTTTAATGGGAATTGTTTCTTAAATTACAGTAAACTTATCTTTGTAAGTTTAAAGTTCTACACTAAAATTTCTTGAATATGTTCTTTCAGAGCTTTGGACTGAATGGCTTTTCTGAAATGTTTTTTGCTCTGGAATGGAGATAAGTTCGAGAACTATCTATAGTAGTGTTACACTGAGCAGTAGAATTCCTACTGACCGCAGTTTTCTGAGGCTAGTATTACCACACATTTTTATAGGTTGCAGTGAGTAGTATAGTAAAAAGTATAAATTTAAGTATTCTAAAATTTATTGAAATAATTTGATAGTGGGAAAAAGTTTTTGGTGACTAATTTACATGTAAATTAAATACAGAAATATTATTTCACTTTTCTAAAAGTGCATGTATAAAGGAGTTTTAAAATGATACAAAGAGAAACATCCTAAGTTACTCTGTTTCTGTTTATTTCAGAGCTGAAAACAGTGACATCACGTTTCACATTAAACACTGTTAAGAAGACAATATGGGGACTCCTGGTTCTGGAAGGAAAAGGACGCCGGTAAAAGACCGATTTTCTGCGGAAGATGAAGCTCTGAGTAACATTGCCAGAGAGGTTCGTGTGAACTCCCCGTGCAGCATGGGGTCTGTGTAAAACTGCCAGGGGTGCCCGGGGGGGGTCTCTGTGAACTTGAATTCACGGAGCTGATACCAACCACAATGTGAGTAAGGTGTTAAGTGCGGCCTCTCCATGCTCTGTTGGAAGAGAATATAGTTACCGTCTCTTTATTTGGCTTTCTGGTCCTCTTATTTGAAATCAGTTTTTCATTTTATTTTTTTGCGGATTACTTTGAGGTACTTGTTGGAATGTTTTGAAATTTGTTATCTTCAGTATTGAAACGTAACGTAATTAGAATGTGGAAACTATGATAACTGTATTATAGAAACACTCGTGGGCTGTGCAGGTGGCACACCCCAGGAGGCACTGTGTAGAAGTGCACAGAAGCAGTCCTTATTGGGTGTCTGCCCAGATGCAGTTGCTCTAGCTGTTTTTTAAAATATTGCACTGGGATTTTTATGTTTAACTTTGAGCTGGTACCAGAGCTTCTGGAGCATTTTTGTTTCAGTTTGTTGACAACTTGGAAGAAAGAAAAAAATGGAGAGGGCTGTCACCTATTGAATCACTGGCAGCATTTCCTGTTGCATATTGGAAATTTAAGATAACTCCCAGCTGTGATCTCTTAGTGAGGTGCCGACTTTGTCTCGGACTCGGACTCTGTCTGCAGCTGCAGACCTGACAGTAAACGAATCTGGCGCAAGAATTGGGTAGAGCATTGTTAAATTACATTCTTTTTGTGAGGATTAGTCCCTCACCACTTCCTCTTTGCTATTCTTAGTAAATAGCCCATTTAGGGGTAGTTTCCTTTTGACATATTATACAGTCTCTTTTGGGTCCAGCTCATTGTTAAATTTTTCCTCTGGTTAGTTAGCTTCTGAATTAGAAGTCAAACCCTGTAGAAGGATGTTCGAGGCAAAGACAAGGGATCTAAAAACGGATCACAAAATTGTGATATTACTTTAAAAAAATTCCAGTGAGCGGGGCTTGGGTGGCTCAGTCATTAAGCATCTGACTTCGGTTCAGGTCATGGTCTCACAGTTTGTGAGTTAGAGCCCCGCGTCGGGTGAGCCTGAGCCCCACATTGGTTGGGTGAGCCGTATTTCTCTCTCTCTCTCTTTCTCTGCCCCTCGTTCACTTGCGCCCTCTCCTCTCTCTCAAAAAGAAGTCAAGTGAGATATTTTCAGATAAAAGGGTATAGGATTTTTTAAAATGGAATGAAAATGAAATGCAGCAATCTTAAGTATTTGCACAAGTGAAGCATTTTGAAAGCCATGTAGTTTTAGTTGAAAACTGAAACTACTCAAAATGTTTACTTTCCACATTGGAGGGATTTATCCAGATTTCTATAAGGAAAGCAAATGTCAGCACCTTCTAGGCTCTTCTGCACTATCACTAAATATTTGAACTCGTTTTGGATGTGACGCTGCGGGTGCAAAAGTGGGTACCTTGACACCTCTAACACTTGCATACTTACTGTGTGACAAGTACTATTGTGATATTCAAAATGCATTAATTCATTTAATCTTCACAGAATTCTGAGATTGGTGTTATTATCTCCATTTTGGCCAATAAAGAAACCATCTCACAGAAGAGTTAAATATCTTTCCTCAGGTCACATAGTCAGGAAATAGCAGAGCTTGGGTTCAAACCCATGAAGTCTGGCTCCAAGGTCTGAACATTTAACCCCTTGCTCTGCTATACTGTTTCTCAGTATTCTTCACCTCCCCCGTGAGTAGTTTGTTTTCTGCAACTTTTCATGATTTCGAAAGTACTTGCACATCTTGAGTCTCATAATAACTTTGTGAGTTAGGTAGGATAGCAGTTATTATTAGCCTTATTTACAGATGAGGAAACAGACAAGGCTGAGATAAATGTCTGAAAGGTATGAGAGCTGGGGCTCAAATTCAGCTCTTTAAGCCATTGTTCATTCTCCTGTACCAAACTCTTCCAGAAGAGGCAGGCTTTGGAGAGTTATAAGTGTGGCTTTTAATTCTGGCTCTACTAGGGGCGCCTGGGTGGCTTAGTCGTTTAAGCGTCCGACTTTCGCTTAGGTCATGATCTCGCGGTTGGTGGGTTCGAGCCCCGCGTCGGGCTCTGTGCTGACTGCCAGCTCAAAGTCTGGAGCCTGTTTCAGTCTGTGACTCCCTCTCTCTCTGACCCTCCCCTGCTCACGCTGTCTCTCTCTCTCCTAGAAATAAAAAAAAAAAATAAAAAATAAAAAAAAAATTCTGACTCTACTAGTTGCTGGTTGAGTAATTTTGTTAAGTAGCTACTGTGGACTTTGGTTTCCACATCTGTAAAATGGGAATAGTATTGTCTTCCTGTATTATAGGGCTGTTGTGGTGATTAAAGGAAATAAAGCATGTAAACCTTTAGCATAGTGTTAGGCTTGCAGTGGCTATTTTGTTGCTTAATAATGTCATAACTGACAGAATACAGGTAAAATAGTCTATTTCTTTTTTATAAAAAGAAACGTATTAAGGTGGATGTTCTAAAACATTGTTGATTGTCAGACTCAGGGAGCGTTTTCAACGTTCAGATTTCTGGCCCTTACCTGTATTTGCTAATCTGAATCTGTGGGCGTTGAGCTCAGAAACCTGTGTTTAAGTGTGTTTGCACACGCAGGTATGCACATGCAGGTACACACACTTCCTCCCAGGGGATTCTGATGGCCAGTCAGACTTGGGAACCATGAACCAAAATACACAGAAGATCCTAAGCACGGTCAGGTTTTTATACTCCAGGTGGCTTTCCTCCTTGTCTGTTATTATTTTGCTATGAAATAATAAATCTAATCCAATTATTAAATTACAAGTTATGGTGTAGTAGTAAAATTTATTAATATAAATAATAAATTATACTGGGTTTAAAAGGCCAGTATTTCTGGTTTTTATTTCTGTCTTCAGAACTCTCAATGTGAATATGCCAACTCTGCTAGCCTGGTCCAGAGGCTCAGCTTAGCCTTCAACACGAAGGGGGCAGTTTTTAGTAAGACTGACGACAGTTTTGTCTAATGTGTGATGTCGTGGTTTGAAAACTTTAGAAGTTTGGCAGTTTTAACAATTCTTTCATATATTCCTTGTGGCGATTTTTCTTTCCTTTATGGTTTTCGTAGCCAGTGCTCACGTGTCCGCTCACATGTCCCGTGGTTGACATCCGCAGACAGTCCCTGATCCTAACTTTTCACACACACAGCGTGACTCAGGTTAGGAATAAGCAGAAATGAACAGAACCCTTATCGTGATGAAAAAAGACATGTAGCTTGATCCTTTTTTTTTTAATAGTTAAATCTTAAATGATTAATTTGTCTTTCCTCACTTCACATTGCTTTCTGAAGTAGGCAGGGAGTGCCGTAGATAAAGAAAATAACCTTTTTCCTCCTGCTCACTATTTGCTCGGGTTTCTTGCACCTCCGTTTGTCCCAAGTCAGGGAGCTGGGGGGAAATGAGGAAAAGAAACAAAAGGCATCAGTATATTCTGCAGACTGGACGGTTGGCCTGCTCAAATATGGAACCGAACACAGTTGTAAAACACACATAAGACCTGGCATCCTAACCGTGTCTGAAGTGCAGGCCTCTGTGGCTTCAGGCGCATTCCCATTGTCTTGCAGCCACTACCACCGCCGTCTACAGAAGTCTTCGTTTGGTAAGACCCAGGTGCCTTCCAGAAAGACGCTCAGGAGATTGAAGAGTGCTCTGGGAAGGCAGGAGCGTGGATGGGGTGAGAGGCCCGCCAGTTCCGTGGGAGGCGTGGCCGCTCTGCGGGGGCCCCGGCAGTCACAGCTCTCAGAGGAGCTCAAGGAGCCCTGTGGGAAGGGGTCACCCGCAAGTCCTCTAGGTCGTCAGAAGACCTGTGTGGGTTCTTTCCTTTCTTGCTCGTTGGGCTTTGATTTGTTTGGGGGAAATGCAGCTGGAGAGCCGACTTTAAGTGAAAATTAGCTGACAGCACCGAGTGTATCAGAGTGGGAACCGTGAGGCCCTGGCTCCCACGGGGAAGGGTGAGGGTCGGGCGGAAGCTGCCTGCGCCGTCTTACCTGCAGCCAGTTCTGTGGGTGTCATGGTGAGTGTTCCCAGGAGACGAAATGAAGCCTTTTGAAGGGACAGCAAACAGCCTTTTTAAGGCATCACAGAAGGCTGGGGTGTTACTAATGCTATTAGTTAATAGCATTAGTTGGTTTAGGGCTGAAAATATGATGAAAATATGTTTAGTGCACATCTGTCCAAATGGAAGTTTTCAGAATGTTGCTTATTTTTGGACCCTGTGATCTGAGAGTCCTTCCAGCTCAAAGATTCTGTGATTTCTCTGGAGATCCAGGGCCCAAAGAGATTCATGCTCTTAATGCACGGTTCTCTTGAATCTGAAGGATCAGTGACCAGCGTAGGAATTGATTTTATCGGAGTTGGCTGGAGGCTAGCCACGGGACTGCTCACACTGTACGTGTAGGTGTGTGTGGAGCACACACCTGCTGTGATAAGAAGAAAGGAAGCTTTGATGGCTTCTCAACATCTGTGGCTGCTAGTGCTTTCAGATTCCAATTTTTAAAAGTAGCTTTATTGAGATATAATTTGCCCACTTGAAATGGTTTTGGTATGGTTTGGAAATGGTTTTCAGTATTTTACAATATTAAGTTTTTAAAAGTTGTGATTATAATATATCACAAAATTTGCCATTTTAACCATTTTAAGACTGCCGTTCAGCGGCACTCATTGCATTCACAGTGTTGTGTAACCCTCACCACTGTCTATTTCTAAAACATTTTCATCACCCCAGATAGTAATTCTGTAGCCATTAAGTAAGAAGTCCCCATTCCCCTTCTTCCAGGCCCTGGGAACCTTTAATCTATTTTATGTCTCTGTGAGTTTGCCCAATTCTGGCTGTTTCATACAAGTAGAGTTACATAGTATTTATCCTTTGTACCTGCCTTTTTTTTGCTTGGCATAAGGATTTCAAGACTCATCATGTTGTGGCATGTCTCAGAACTTCATTCCTTTTCCACC